TTGGCTCGCAACTTCTCGTTTGAGCGAGATGCATTTTTGTTTGGGCGAAAACACCAAACAAAAAATTTACTCAATTTTCTAATAATTTCACCTGAGCGAGAAGCCAACTCACTTGAGAGAGACCTAATCCAGAGAGCTCTCATTTTTTCTTGTGTATTCTTGCCTAAGCAAGAGGACAAATTGGGTCAATATTATTTATTCTTGCCTGTGCGAGACAAATCTTGCCTAAGCGAGAGTGCCCTGTTGCAAGTGGTCCTGAATGACCTACCCTCGCTTGAGTGAAATCTCCTACAATTTTTAAAATTTTAAAGTTTTATATTTTTTTTAAAATTGTAATAAATTATAATAATAATAAAAAATGAGAATGTTACATGAACAATATCGTTGGGTTAGGGTTATTCCAATTGGTTGATTATTTTCTTCATTATCTTCTTCATCAAATATAATATTGCATTTTCTTTCTTTTTCTTTTTTTTTTTGGCAACAGCTTTTGCATAAGGATTCTCATTTACTTGATATTAGTGACTGTAAACTCAATTCTAGCCATTACTTGTTCACACTTAATGTAGTTAATCTTATGGTTGTTGAGAAAAAGAAAAATGCAAAGGCATATGATGAATCTGTATGTTTAAATATATATATAATAATAATAAATGATAATTATATAATATTTAATAATATTTATACAGTATTTGTCATCTAAAATTACGTTAATTATACAATTATCTTATTTTCTTAGTTACTTTATTATAAATTAATCTTAACCCTCTCCTTCATATTGGAGCATATAAATTATCGTAACCCTCTCCTTCATATTAACACCTCACAATCTGTAAAATGGTTAGTTTAAATTGTACAAATGGTGTTGGAAGTGAAACAAATGATGTTGAAGACTCATGGTAAAAGAAAAATAAGCAAAGATTATAAAAGAATTATATAAGAACTCAAAAAAATACAAAATTATAAAACATGAGACAGTGAAGAAAAAAAAAAACATCAGAGAATATAACATAATAACGAAGATAAGGAGAGTAATGCTTATCCCTTTTATTTTATATGAAGTATAACTAAGAAAGATACATGAATAAAGACTTTATCTAACCCAAAATTTATATTAGGTGGGATCAAAGACACGCAGAAACAAGAAACAGAGAGATTGATATGAATATTAGACATTGTTATAATATTTTGATTGTGAACAAAATAAAAAAAATATCACAATAAAAATTGATACCTTTTGTAGGTTTAAAATAGTTCTTATTATAATTTTTTGGCTTGTAGTTTTTATTTACCTAATGAAGTCATTTTACTTTATATTAATATGCCAATTTAATATATTCTTTTCTTAAAAAGAAAACATGTAAAATTAATATTGCCTTTTATTAACCTTTTAATGACTTAAACTTGCCGTTTGAAATATCGCAATATCATTATTGTGGTGGAGTTTGAAAACTGTCAATATCAATAGTATATCGCGGAATATGTATGAAGGAAGATTATTGATTTATACTTTGTGTTTAGATATTAAGATAAAGATATAAAAATATATATAACAAATAGTATAATACGATAATAAAAGAGAGTTAAAAAAAATTGACATAAAAAGTAAGAAGATGTCATGTAAATTATAACTCATTACGTTTAAATTAAATAAAAAATTCAGATTAAAGGTAAGAGTTTTTAAACTTACACCAATATAATTTTTTTTTTGCCTAATATATAAATTATTTAAATTTTGGAGTTAGAATTTTTTATCAAAAAATTTTCAACAATTGAAAATCATTGAATAAGACAATCATTATGAAATATGATAATTTGTTAAAGTTATATCTTTCTTGACTTCAAGTTTGAAAAGACAAGTTGTTTTAATGAAAAAAAAAAGTTCACACAATAAAGTTATTGAGTTAAATTAAGTGATCAAATATGAGTTAAAAGTGACTTTTGACTTATAAAATAGCTAAATTAATTGAGGCAAATAATTTAAACAAATTAGCCATTTAGCTAATGGAACCTTCGATCGACAAGCTTAAAACATGACAGAGGACATACACATCAATTGAAAAGCTTGGATAGTTTGAAGAACATATTAATTGGGAAGCTTGGTAGCTTGCGCATGCATTAGTTGAGATGTTTGCTAGCCATTGAATAAATTAGTTGATTTATGAATCAATTGTCAACCAAATTAAATAGCAATTGAAGCCAATAAAATATATTAGTTGAGAGATCACGAGTCTGTGCTCAAATTCTTTCAAACTACTTTAAATTTGTGCTTAATCTCCTTCTTTACTTAAGTCCAAATTGCAAGAGAGTTGAAAGTGATTTTCAAAATCTTGACTTCTCACCGTATAGAGCTAGAACTCTTTATAGAAGAAAAGAAATATACATTATTAATAATGGATTTTAGAGCGTAAAATGATCATATTTCAACTCACCAAAGAAGAGAAAGATTATGGAGTTACCACGAGTTAATGGGAATTTACAAGTTTGGAGTTTATATCAAGTAACCAAGGGATTGAATGATGGCCAAAAAATTGAAATCTTGGAGCATTTTTGTAAAACATATCATTTTCAACTAGTTTTAATTTTTAAAAAAATATGCAACAAACTATAAAAGAGAATAATTTTACTTTCTAAACGAAGCATTTTTCGTGGTTTTAAAATTTTCATCATTAAAATCTACTAACATTAAAAAATTAGACTTTTTCATCAAATCTATCTAGTGTCTCTATTTTTAATCTTGTTTTAGATAATTTTAATTGGTAAAATTTATTCTTTTTTTTTTCACTTGCTTTCTTCTCTTATCTCTAATTCTTACCGATGATATTTTATAAATTAGTACTTTTAAGCTATATTTGAATGTAAGATGAGATAGAGAGAAAAAATAAAAGACAAAAAATAAAAAAAGAGTGAAAGTAAAAAAGTTTATCTAATATTTGAATAAGTTAAAATAAAAAGAAAAAGAAAATATAATTTCTACTTGTTTGAATAAGTACAAAAGAAAGCTAAATAAAATAATCAAATTATATTAAAAATATTTATAAAAAATAAAGTTAGCATAAATTTTTTTTATTATAATATTTTTAATAAAATTTTATTTTTTATAATTTTTTTTATAGTTTTAAAAAATAAAAAAAGTTTTCTTGCTTTGTTGTCCCTCCTCTCCTCACATTTTAGTCTTGTTTATTTTTGCATAAAATTTTGGATTTTTCTGTAAAAAGAAAAAGTTTTTCCCTTTTTGTGAATCTAAAATAAATATTTTAACTTCCTCTCAACTTCCTCCTCTTTCTCCTAATTTTTTTGACAATCATGTGTGAAAGATTAAAACTAAATTTACTATGTTTTGACATTAAAATAAATAATATTATGAAAGTACTGAAGAAATGAAAGTAAAGCAATTTGAGTAGCTACTAAATCAATACATTTCAAGATTTGATACAGATCAATAAATTTGAAAGAGAGCTTTTGGCTTTCATATTTGTTGTTTTCCTTTTTATTTTTATTTAATCTTTAAGTTCATTCCTCATTCTATTTTCTTTTTAATCTCTCATATCTGTTGTTTTTTGTATTTTCTTTATTAAAAATTAATAATTTCATTTTCTCCTTCTCATTTTTTTATTCAGTATTTATAAGTTTAGATATAGGATGAGTTATTGCAATTTTTTATGTTATTTTTCTTCTCATATTTTTAGATATTTATTTTATTTGGTTTGAAGATTTGAATGAAGAGACAAATTTCTAACAAGTGACACCTCCTGTTTTGTTAGTTTAAAATTAAGTTTAAATGAACAAATACTTCCTAAAAATATATTTTGTTTTGGAATTAGACTATAAAATTATTGGTTGACTTTAGTCTTATAAATTATTATTTTTAAATAGTTTTTACTATTAATTGAAAGTCGTTAATGATTAAACAAATAATGTTTCATGTAATACTTGAAATGTGAAATGTTAGATTCATGTAAGTTTTCCTATCTCACACAATTCAATTTCTTTTTTCCTATCTTAAAAATTCTTCTTGTAAAATGATATTTTTATTTCAAATAACATTTATCTAATAGCAAATATTCTTAAGAGAAATGAAGTGGAATATGCTACCTAAATAAAAAATGTTAATTTAAGAGATAATTATATGATTTATTTTTAAAAAATTAAAATTTTTACTAAAATAAAATAAAAATAAAAATATAATAGAGACTAATTCTAAAAGAATATATTTTTTAAGGACTCATTACTTATTTAAGCCCTATATAATATTTAAAATTAACATTCTAGGTGATAAGTACTACGTAAAATACTGCTTGTTTAATTATTATTTAACCATACTTAATTAACATTGAATACTATTTTAAAAAAATACATTTTTATAAGACTAAAATCGATCAAAAAATTTTATAAATACTAATTTTAAAAATAAATATATTTGTAAATATTATTTATTTATTTAAGTCAAAAAATTATTATTTTTATTTTTATTTAACAAGTTACATTTACATGACTTTTTATTCTTAGTTGCTGTAGGCAGGGGATATAGTTTTATACTCTCCTTTGTTGCGATTTTTAGGTTTTTCTTTGATCATGATAATTATTTTAAAATTTTAGTACCAAATAGTTATATATTTTTCAAATTTATCTTTTCTTGTAAATAAGAAAGTTAATATATATATATATATATATATATATATATATATATAATTCTTATTAGATACATAATTTTAAAATATAGATAAAAACTAATTTTTATATTTATGTTAGATAGTTATTATTTTATTGTTTCTTAAATTTTTAATTTATTTTATTATTTATTTAAAATGTATAAAATTTTAAAAATAATAGGTAACAACTCGTGTATGGCACCGGTTAATACGTTAGTAAGTGTCAAATTGAAACAATAAGATTATAATTAAACCGAATATGAATTTTTATTATTAAGCAGTGCCGAGCAAGAATCCAAATCTGACTTCCAACCCCTTCCTCTGTTACTGTGTAAGGGACACCGAATTCAGCACTTACAAACAAATCCCTTTCTTCCTCTCCCACTCATTCTCATGCTCACTTTTCTTCTTCCATGGAACCCTTCTAGCCTCCACCTTCATGCTACACTTTATACCCTTTTCAACGCGTCTCATTCCCATCTCCATTTTCTAGGTGCTGCATCGCCTCAATTCCCTCATTCTCTTTCTTCAATTCTTCTCTATCCAACCTCCATTGCCCATAACGCCCTCGTTGATCACACCCCACCTCTTCATTCATTGTTTCCGAGCTTAATCTAGCTGGTTCAGATCTTGGGTTTCAAATCAAACTTCGTGCAAATCTTGAATTCCAATGAAATAATTATTCTTTCTTTTTTTTATTTTTAAGTCAGAAAATGGAGATTTCTAGTGGAGGTTGTTCTCCTAGGATTAGGTCCGATCATACTCGGAAAGAGGGATCCGGGGGAACCCCTTTACAAGAACAGGGTCTAGAGTTGGAACTATCTAATCGTGATAACAATTATCAAATCCAATCAATGAATGCTTTGGATATTCTAAGAGAGACTGTGAGGATTCTTAGGTTTAATTCATGGGGTTTCATGGCAATCACTGTTATGCTTATTTGTCCTGTTTCTGCTGTGCTTTTGTCTAATGTAATAGTGGATGATTCTATTGTGAGGAACCTTTCTGTTAGGCTTATGTTGGTTGCTAAGACTAGTGGTCTCCCTCTGAGACCTATTATCAAACAATCTTGCCAGCGTTTTGCGGAAACTGTGATTTCTTCGGGTATGTGCTTTCCTTTGTATGCTACATTGTTGTTGTTGTCGAAAGCTGCGGTTGTCTATTCTGTAGATTGTACTTATTCGAGGAAGAAGTTTGATGCTTCCAAGTTTTGTGTGATTGTTGGCAAGTTTTGGAGGAAGATCCTTTCGACCTATATGTGGGTGTGTACAGTAGTAGTTGGTTGTGTCACCATGTTTTGTGTTTTCCTTGTCGCGTTCTGCAGTGCATTGGCTGTTCTTGGGTTTTCTCCGGATGTCATTGTGTGTTGTGCAGTGATGGTTGGGCTAGTTTTCTCTGTCGTCTTTGCCAATGCCATAATCATTTGCAACATTGCAATGGTGATCACTGTGCTGGAGGATGTATCGGGGGCACAGGCAATGCTGCGGTCTAGTATGTTAATCAAGGGTCAAACTCAGGTGGGTTTGCTAATATTTCTTGGATCAACGATAGGAATGGCCTTTGTGGAGGGCTTGTTTGAGCACAGAGTCAAGACACTGAGCTATGGTGATGGATCTTCAAGAGTGTGGGAAGGACCCCTCTTGGTGGTAATGTATTCATTTGTGATGCTTATAGATTCCATGATGAATGCAGTTTTCTATTTCAGTTGTAGATCTTCTTGCATGGTGACCTCAGATGGTGAAGGCAACTCAATTTTAGAAACTATGGCCATCTCTGCTGAAACAATGGGCATTCAATGACATTGACAGCATGATATTGATTATATCAATTGAATTAATAAGATGAAGAGGCAAGCTGTAAGAGGTTGTCCCGGCAAACTGTGTTGCCATTGAGGAACCTTGCAACAATACTTCCTCAGAACATTGGATACGAGAGCTATATAGGGTGGATGACTTCCAATGGCTTTTACCTTAATGAGATATCTCATTTCAGATACATGGACATTGCTTCTTTTAGTTATTTTACAAGCATGGAAAACCTTAAAAGCAGGGTAATCAATGTTTTTGTTTTCTTCAGTGTCAGTGGAAAAGATAATATTTTGTAAACAAACAGAAGAAATTCATTTGAATTGAAGCATGTTTTCATTGTTCCCAGTTGACACATAGTTACTACCAATCTCTTGGAAGCTTCTACCTTAATACTGTGTAGGGTAACGTTGGGACATTTTATGTTTTATTGATCTTTTGTTTCAACCATTAATGAACTACAGTTAATTTATTTTGACTTATATGCTCATCACTTTGTCTGTACCAATTGAGAAAGACAAATGTATTAAATTATGTTCTTTTCTCTGCCTCCATTGTTTACAAATATCTCCTGATGTTTGAAAGTTTCTCCTCTTTTGTTCTAAATAGATTAGGGGTCTTTCAAGGCTAGGGCATGCCACAAGCTTCAGTGCTGTCTTGTGATGGTGTTTACAAATCCACCTACCAAGGGGAAGTACATGCAGTCGTGTTTCAAAGTTTGTTATGTAATTCAATGGCCTTTAATGCCTTTTACAATTTTGAATTTATTGTTAAATTTTATACATATAATGAATATAATCAGTATGTACTAAGTGGATTCTTGAAAATGTATACCAAGATCATTTGAATTAAAAAATCTCATTATTTAGATTACTGTCAAAGGGATTCACCTTTTATTTTGCCTCACTTGCATCGGGTGATCTTTCTAGTTTCCGTGTGCCTAACTGCTTCTTCCTTCTAGTTCTGTATATGTGAGTATCTGTTAAACTCATCAAAAAAGTTGTTTTCTTCACTCTTGGTGATCTTCCCCTGCAATTTGCAACAAAAGTGAGAATGTTGATTCTACTTCTGTGTGAAAGAAGCAACATTTGCTGGAACTGGAATACTTAAGTTATATCAATAATTGAAGCACACATGTGCTGAACAAAATGGATACCGAGTTACTGACTTCTGAATTGCCTTCATGAACCTTTCTTATACTACACTGGATGATCAGACTAGAGGTACCATACTTGTTGATCTATTAGAGAGCAAACAATACTGCAGTTGAGGCCAGTTTCATAAGGCAGGCAGGGTATTTCATTCCAATGTTGGTTTGGTTAATTGGTTTGGTTAATGGCACATGTAAGAGTAATACTACTTGGTACAAAAAAAAATGAATGGAAGGATATATAGGAATCCATTTCTTGTGATTTCTGTCAAACACCAGTTTTGGTTTTTCCTTCTTTTACCTAACCTATAAAAAGCTTTCACATGGATTTCAGTTCTTTGAACTGAATAGCAGAATTACAAGGTTTATTTGGCTTTTATGGTATCTTGCATAATCTTTTTCGCTCTAAATGTTTTATGTCTTGACTCATTTTGTTTTTAATCCTAGGTTGGAGTGTAAATTTCGAATGAATTTGAATGTGGACATTGCCACGTTTAATCCTAACAAAAATTGTTGAAAAATCTTATTTTTTGTACGAGTGCCTTGGCATAACTATGGCCGTTTCTGAGCAAAATTACACATGTGCCAGTGGATTTGTGTTGAGAGTAGAGCTATGCCCAAAACCAGCATAAAAACACATGATTGACAGCAACATTTCAAATGCTGATGGCTTTGCTATGGTCAAATTGAGCGGAATTACGTTTTGTTACCTGAAATGCACCATTGTTACTATCTTTCAAGCGGATTTACGTTCATAACATGCTATAGAAACATGCGTTGCCGGTGGAGAGACTTGGTCTATTACTGAGTTAGGATTGAGCATAGCTATGCTGATTTTGCATTCTAGGAACATGTGGGCATGCAAACACAAGTACGCATCTTTTATATCATGGCAGAGACGCGTGAGCTTTAGCGTAATTCCATGTATATGGCTGTAGCTTCATACATGTGGATGCCACACATCACAATTTCCAAACTCAGCACAAAAGCACTTGATTGTTAAGATGTGAACAAAATTGCTATGAAGGTCACAAAAACATGTTACAATCACCGCACACATACGCATATCAATGTTTGATATAATTGTGACCATTAAGACGAAAACAACCCAAGATTAGTGAAAGCTGAGATATTTTTGCTTAAGTCTAAAAATGAGGTACTAATGCAATAGTTTTAGTTTTTAAAAGCTATGTACAATAGTTCTCTGAAGAGATATGGTTCATGCTGAATTGCACATAAACAAGAAGTCATGATCCCGTAAATTCTTTTACTTTTGGATGTATATATGAACAATTATCAGTGACAATACATAATATATCATTTCCTTGACATGTTATGGAAAATTGGGAGTTTAGCCACTACTTTTCATTATTCTGTGTTAGGTTCATTACCGCCAAGCTTAACCTGCAGAATCATATCAAAATTGAGGATCAGATCCATAGAGACACCAAACTTGAATTAACTATTAAAAATCCTACATACACACACGCACGACTCTACCAAATGAGTTACTATCTTATCAGCTTCTCATATAGCGCTTTAATATCACAAGGCAGACGTTCTAAGCCTCAAAGGGCATAATGAAAGTTAAAAGAGGCCTTACACTAAAGTCACCACAATAATAATGCTAAAAGCGTTGTCTATTGACTTTGAAATTTTTCTTTGAGTTCGAGTCTTCTATAATAATGGCACCATGCGTAAGCACTTCTTTATCAAGAAAGGTTCTTTGAAGAGCATGATCAATTGCTCCGGCTCAAATTTTTTTTTCCTTACAATGAATCTATCGAATCATTGTTTGGTTCTTTCCTTATTTGGTCTTGCATTCTCATGTGTAGAGACAAACTTCTTCCTATTCATGCATTTGCAACTCTCCATTCTCTCTACTTTTTCTTCAATTAAATTTCAAGGACTTCGTGGCTATATATGCTTTATGTTCCAGTTCTATAGGGAGGTAACGAGCCATGCAAAAGACTAACTGATATAGAGACATACCAGCTGGTGTCTTAAAATTTGTCTTAGAGCCAGTTCTATAAGGAGATTCACCATCACTGTCTTCAAAGAGATATTCTTCTTTGTGAATCTAATCACAACCTTAGCTACGCTCTTCAACATGTGCCTCTTTGACATGCACCCTGTCCAATTATAGTATCAATGGGCTTTAACTACCACCTACTACAACACGCATCTACCAGGAGTTCCTTTGCTGCGTTAAAAACCCGAGACTTAAACTCTCAAACCCGTTCCCTGAGACTCAGGTGAAAATGGGTTCTCTACAATGGTGACCACACGTTTTAACTTCCTTTTCTCATCATATTTTGCATGTTAATTACAAAATTATTTTACTCTCGAAACAATTACATGACTTTAGACGATGATACGAAGGCTAGCTGGAAAAATTTACACCTAACAAAGATCCATTAATGGCGAGGATATTCTAAACATTTTACATTAACAGGGGATGAAAAAAGGGAAAGGACCTGTACCAAAATTTGTTAATTTTGTAGGGATATAAAAAGCATATGTAACCCACGGTAATATATATATATATACATATATATATACATATATATATATATATATGTAGTTCTGTTACAATGGTAGGTCTTTCTTTTCATTTGTAATCCAACCTTATGGATTTTGAAGGGTTTCAAAATCCTGAAATATTTTTTCGGCTAATGGCTTGAATTCCATATTGCCAAAAAAAGAATCTTGAAAAGTTTTTATAGATGAATATTTCCATTTTGAAGATATTGCGCAAAGATTATATCCCCTGGGGGCTTTGTCTAGAAGCATGGTAGCTAAAACTTATTCTATCCTCTCCCATATTTGTATCACTTTATACTCTTCGAGATGCTTATTTTCTGGTTTCAAACGGAATTCTCTATTCTAATAAACACTATCAAAGCTTTTCATATTCATATTTTCTTCAGCCAAAATGTAAATCATGATTCTTTTGCTGAATATAAACATTTTGTGGTTGTTTCAATTTCCAAACTTCCGACAAGAGCGGTATTGTAACATCTTGAGGAAAGGTTCGAGAATTTATAGGGAAGAAATCCATTGATCATATAGCAGAACGGCATAAGCTTTTATTTGTAATGAAACTAAAAAATACGGGCTCAGATGTCATCCTCTACTGTAATAAGTGAAAAAAATAACCTATCCTATTCCAATTTTATATTCTTGCTAGATTGAAAATCAAGAATGTCATCCGTGATCCACCCTTGCTATTGATATGTCTCTTCATTTTATTCCTCTTTGGTGGTATCTTTATTCTGGTAATGTCACAGTTCCCATCCTAAAATATTTTATAATTCCTTTCCACTTTCTGGTCCAACTTGTAGCCTCAAACACTCAGACACCCCAATTATGGTGTAAAGACAAGCTGAGAATTTACGTTCATACTTCATCCTGAAAGTTTCTCTAAGCAATGTTGAATCATCCACATCATATTTCTCTTCCTCCATTGGTCCCATCATCTCCTCTGCTATCTCAAATGGAGAAAAAGAGTAACTCAATGACCCGCCAGAATCCAAAAACTGCAAGTCCATGATCTCAACATCACAGACTTCAAACTCTCCTTTAGGCCTCATAATCTGATTGTTTTCATCACCAACACTGTTAACACAATGATACCCCAATCTGAAATCCTCCCTACTACCCTCTTGGTTACAATTTTCTTCTTTAGTTCCACAGCTGATGTCACAAGTAGTTATGGTAGAAGAATCAGAACGAGCACCATCACAACCTTCAGCAACAACCCCATTTCCTGCCATATCTAGAAGATTCTCAAAGTGCTGTTCTTTTATTTGGTGATGAAAATGAGGTTCTGGGTCTGCTTCTGTTTCTTGCTCAAAGTGGTTAATAGGAAAAGGAGTAGTAACCATGCAAGAAGAGGCAATGCTTCTAGCTTTGAGCCTAAGAAGGAGGAGTTTGGCAATCTTTGGAGGAAGAGCAGGAACAGAATGGGAAGATTGGCATAGAAAGAAGTTTGTGCGAGTGTTGGCACCTCTAAGCAAACGAGCTGCTTCATCATAAGCTCTAGCAGCATCTTCAGCAGTGTCATAAGTTCCTAACCATAGTCTAATGTTCTGAATGGTGTCTTTGATTTCAGCCACCCATCTTCCCGAAGGCCTTTGACGCACCCCAATGTAACGTTTTTTGGCTCTTCTTGCTCCAAGTAGAACAGCAGCTACTGATGCTGCCTCCTCTCTTAGTTGTTCCCATTCAATTTTATTCCCTTCACTTTTGTTTTGTCCTCCTTTACCTTCCCTTTTCTTTTTCTTGTTCACCATCTTCATATTCAAAAGCCTTGGTTTTGCTTTTGGTACCTAGTAGCATAGGGGATAACACGCATTTATAGTACAGTGAGCGGAAGCTCTTCAGTTGAGAGTGAGATCTTTGGAGGCTGCTAATGCTTGTAGCTTCCCTTGTGTTCTATGTCCAATTCGGCTTTCACTATTTTACTTTATTTTTTTTCTTAAACAAAGGCTTCAGAACCGTACATAGCTTTCCTTTTCATTCCAAGGGAGATAATTACTAGATTTGTGTTTCACAAGGAAACTAACTTTTGCATTAACTGACTCTTGCACTCGGTAACTAGAAACTATTGGAACACAAGCATGTAATCAGTAACCAGAGCTTAAAGATATAAACTAAAAATTAGAGATTTTAAATGAAAATGAATATTATTCCATTCGGTTGTATAGTAATTAAAGATTGTAGACTGTATCTTTTATCCACTAATAGCCTTGAGGAGGTGATTTTTCTCTTTGCATATAGAAAACCTTTTAATAATAAATGTAGAATTTTTTTAACAGAAACCTTATGTTGTGTAGGCTGGACTTAGAGAAAATTTATCTGAATTAGATGGAGGAAAAACAGATGAGAAGCAAAATATTAAATTAGGATTTCAAAATTTCCAAATGTCCTTTCCCCTTTTTAATCCAAATAGTTAGTAGATAAGGAAAAATGTATCATTTTCCTTCTCTCAGTTTATCTTTAAACATTACAGTATCTGTTCCGCTATAGAACAGATTTGGTACACCCATATTCTTCCTATAATATGCTGTCCATGAGTGGGGCGTTTGTTCTTGTAGCAGATTTTTGAGTTGGACTTTCTTTAGATAATAAAATGAGATTAATTTCCGGCATAAGAACCCTTTGTCAATGTCACAAGCCTTGTAGAGATCACCCTTTATCAGTCATAAAAGCATATACCATAGCATGATGCTTGTACGATGAGATCCAATGAAATCTGATACGAAGCACTATTTAACTCTGATAAAATTTGTTTGCAGACAGGCCCCACTTAACTAAAGCAGGTCTACCCATAAGTCAATAACGAACTTATTAATAATATTTTTATAATAAAAAATGATTACTTATAAATAATAGTAATCTATCGAGTGATTAGATTTTTTAATTAAGAAAATGCGTCTTATTTTGTTTTTTTTGTTTTTCTAAAATAAAAATTAACAATTCAAATTGCAGTCAAATAAATTCATGTGAATTATGTAGTTTTAGAAATCTTAGTTTATGAATTTATTTTAAGTATTAACTATTACTTTAAACTATATTTCTAAAACTAACACTTAAGAATATTTTTTTTTATCATTATTTTAGAAAAAAAACAACCTCTTTGATTTGGATTAGGGTCAATTTTTTTTTCAATTTTATTTGTTTTATATTTATTATTGAACATGTTGATTAACCAACGGGGAGTTGCTCCAACTTAATAAAAATTATTAAAAAATTTAATGAAGTAATTATTTAATAAATTTTTATAATATGAAACATTAAATTAATTTTTTAATAAATACTTACAAGAAAAAAATAAAAAAAATAAAAAATCTCCTTTTCTGTAAGTAAGAATTAATTTAAGTTTTTCTATTTTTTTTAGAATTTCCCTTTTTTATTTCTTTAAAATATGAGATTTATAAGTTGATTTTAATTTATGAAAGAAAATTTATTTGTTTTATCTTCTCATTTTCTTCTCTTATAAGTACTTATACAAAAGTGTATCCAAACTTATAAATTTATAATAAAATTGATTTAAACAAACTAAGAAAATTTATTTTAATAAGCTACACCTAAGCAAATGTTAAATAAAAACTGATTATATTAATTAATAAGTACTTTTTTCATCTTAAATATTTTTCAAAAAATAAATAAAATTATAATTTTTTTCCTAAAATTTTCTATTCCTTATAAACAAATTAATATTTAGAGTTCGTTTTAAGCCTTCATGAACGTTAATAAGTGGACCAGTTTGCACACTTTAGTTTCTCATTTATCATACACTTTATTGTTTTATTATTTTGTATGAATAATTTCATGGATCATCTCAAGTTATTGGTTTTTTTTTTTTTTTTATTATTATCATAAGATGACACTATCATGATATTGAGTAATATTTGAGGATTTTAATAATTTTAAAACAAAAAAACTATATCTATCTTTATTTTTTTATCTGATTTAATTTTCTTTTGTCTCTACAAATTTAAATTTAACTTTTGGTTTCAATTCATTATTTCACAAAGAATAACATATTTTAGTTTCCGTTGTCATCATAAATTCCTCAAATAGACAAATACTGATCCAATTGATAATAAGTTGAAAATTTATTTGTCATGTCCATAGTTATAGAAAAATCTAACAAGTTAGTTTAATAGGAAACTAATAAAGTCTTTGCTTAAGATAATTCAAGAAATTGATGGGACAAAAATCAGATAAAAATTAGCGACAGAAAATTGATTTTGTCAAAAGTTTAAAAAAAAAAACTTTAATTGTTCTATTTCATTTAATTTTTTATATTATTTTATATAAAAAATTAAAATATAACATTTCAGTAAAGTTAAAAGTTAAAGTAAGAATTTAGTGAAGTTAGAAACTAAAATAACTAACATTTATAACTTCAAAAATTAGAATGGGAGTTTACTCTAGAAAAAATTAATCCAATGTATTTGAAATGGAAGCCATGCCCATGAGGAATAATATATCTCCACCTTCGCAAGTTTAAATATAGCCATTGTTACGTCTAATAATTGGTTTGATAACTGTACTCCCATCAGCATTATTTTATACTATTAATGTATTTTAATTGATTTTTTACCATAATATTCGTTTATAAATATTTGCATAAACTTTGGGTGCATTAATCGATTTATTAAATAATAAAAAATTATTATAATTAATTGAGAACAAAGATTAAATCAAATTCTTTATATATTTTTTATTAAGCTTTTCAATTAAATGATACATAAATCTTAATTTATTTAAATTTAATAATACATATTTAATAAGAATTCTTTATCATTGAAAAGAATATCTATATGTCATTATTTAAATGAAAAAATTGGCTGAAAGGATATAAAAGAGAGAGAAAATAGGAACAAAGTATATCACATGATTTGAATCCACATATTCTCACTTTATGTCTCATAAATCATTGAACGATGTAAATATCAGTTAAATTAAGCTATCACAGCTCATTCAGGATAGTTCTTGCAGATGTTAGATTTTAGTTATATATATATATAATTTGATCAAACTGGTGTGCTCTTGTAGTTCGCCGAAATGTTTTTCGTACTAAGCATTTCTCTTCGAAAAATCACTAATCACAGTGTAATTTCAACAAACGGGATCACAATAAATGAAGTTAAGATTTAACTATAATTGTATGGGACAAAACTTCTTTATATTTTAATTTTCTTATAACTCTTCCCAATTCTCAACAAGTATATATAATATAATCACACTCCCGTTAGCACTTCAAGAGATACTTGAACACCTCTACGGTTCAAGTTGCATCCATAGAACAATTTGAAGAAGACTCAACTCCTCTCATGTACAGAGTACTTGCTCTCCAGCTTGAAAACATATGCAAAAAATAAAGCAATTTCGATTTTTGAATCAAAATATTATACCATAGAAACTAAACATTCATCCATTTTTGGGTTACTTGGAAGATACTTTCAGATGAAAGCCCTGGCCCACCATATCCTCGAAATGTAAGGCACCAATTTATTTTATCCAATAATAAGAGTGTAAAATAAAAAAAATCAAAATTTAAAATTCAAGCAAAGATATTTTTTCATCTAAGATATTTATCAAGTAAGATTGAGACATGCAGAAACTCTTCACGAGACCAGTTAGTTCTAAGCGAGAACTGGGAGCATGGAGTACACAGAGGACATTCACGAGTGGCAACAAATTCCCGAAATCTCTGAATGGAACACAGTGGTGATCAACGAAAACTACCTTGAGGTTGAGCTTCAAGAGGGTGGCCAATATTCTTCCACGAACGACTCAAGTCCCACCCATCACGAAGACTCGTTACAAATCGTTCCAACAATGTTGATAGACTCCGAAGATGGAACTTCCTCGACCTTAACGGCGTCGTCTAGTTCGGTGAGTGAAGAGGACGAAGTGCCCGCGCCTCCGCCGTCAGATTGGCGGGTGCGGGTGGCGAATGAAGGGAAGAAGCTGTTGAAGCTGAGATTGGAGGCTGTGAGAGCTAAAGTGGTTAGGGTGGCTTCCAAGGTTAGTAATTGGGGAATGTATGCCGGGGTGTTTTGGTCATTTAAGTATGTCACCGGAGCTGCGGTGGTGGCGGCGGTGTTTGTGTCGTTAGTTTACGTGGGAATTCGACAGCGTCGTCGGAAGAGCGTGGATCATTGGGTTTATCTTCTTAGAGAGAAAGATGAGGTGAGTATAACATCTTTCTATTTACTGACGTAAAATTAGCATAGTGGAAGTGCATCACTATCTCCATTTCTACCATTCTCCAAAGTTGCTTTTAAGAGAGAAATTATTTTTCTGTGAAAAATTAATATCTTTCATATTAATTTACTATTCTCATTTGTCACAGTTATTAAATATTTTCTTTTGAGCAATTTTCTGTATACATAATTAATTTTATATGATGGTTTTCAGTGTCTTCTTTATCATGGGGATATTATAATTTTTTAATGATTAAATGTTAATTAATCTATGTTTAGATGTTAAAAATTAATACATAAATTTTTTAATTATATTTTCATTAAATAACTTATTACTAAATATTTATTCAATGAATTTAATTAAAATACATTGATAGTACTCAATTATAAATTATCATATTAATAGAAGGGTGTTGTTAACTAATTGTTTACTTATAAAATATTTTTATTTTTCATTTCTTAACTAAAAATTATTCCCTTTTATAATAATTTATTTGAAAGTAATATTTATAGTGTATTATAATTATTTAATAGTGCAAAGAATAATATAGTGTACTAAAATTGAACTCTTGATTGATTGTAGATAATTTTTTTTAAAAAATAAGTTATTATTTTTTTCACAGTCTATAATAGACACTGCAGAAAAATTATGTATTGACAAAAAAATTGTTAAGTATTAGAATAACTTTCAATAATAAAATTTTTGTTTAACAAAAAATAAATTATTAATAATGACTTTAAAGGTCTATATTAATAAATAATGCAACAGCTAACATTTATGAATTACTAATGTACTTAAAATATTATATACTAATGGTATTATTTGATATTGTTTGCATAAACTCAAAATATTAATACTAACAATTTAGTTTTTCTTAAGAATATTTATACTAAGCAACTTTTTATACTGAAAATAATTATAACAAAATAATTTTTTTTTATCGTCCTTATTATACACATACGTATTTATTCTAAATACAAACTCATTTTAAAGGAATCTTTCTCTTCTCTGGTTTAAGGTGTGTCCATCTTCATTGATACACTAATTTCTTGACTTTTATCCTGATGTTCTTCATATCAAATGTAGTTTTTTTTTGCAGCTAGTAACTAATTAAATGAAGGTCTGGTATTTGTAGCTGTACATATTTAATTGCATGATGATCATTTTTCTTTTGAAAATCGAAGTAGTAACATGGAAAGCATTACCCTGATGCAGAAAATTGGGCAACTCTTACTTCGAATTGCACAATTAAATGAAGTGCTGTCATCACGTCGCAAGGTTCCGGTGCATCGAATCAACGACTAATTACATTGCTATTGCAGAATCGATGAGGGTGATGCAAATTTTCCATTATTGACTTTGACTATGTATTGCAAAGCATATACGAGCTTGAAACTGAACACTTGCATATATATATATATATATATATATAACCATTTACTATATAGTTATAGTTGTATTCTTATTGATCATATCTGGTTTAATAAAATGTAACATAAGCATGTATTTAACCATTTGTTAGAAAACCACTCCAACGGGCAATGCGAGTTATTATAAGACAGGCAAGTGATAATAATATGACCCTAAATAAATGTAATTACTTTCAGTTGTTGATTTTCTTTTCTGAAATCCTGTGTCACTCTCATTATTGATTATGCCATTTAAAGTCATTTCAGCTAACAAAATAGTTTCTCCCTTACTAACAAGTGATAGTCATTTCCACGACCTCAGAATAATAGAATATAAAACTTCTCTCTCATCCAAAATACTATTGGAAAATACAATTCTATTTTTATGTAACCACAAAAATCACATTGTACTTACCCAAATAATTAATAAATATATTCCTTCTCTTTTACTACAACTAATATCAACTTAAGAAAGCAAGTAAGTCAAAAAATTTGAAGGCAAAACTAGTGAGAATTCAAGTCAACACGCAGTAAAGTGCCAGATTTGAGATGAAATTGAGCACATTAAAAACAAATGAGTTGGAAGTTTCTCTAAACTATGACAGAAGCAACAAGTTATATCATCAATTTGAACACCATGATCAATCCGCAAACCTTTACAAGGAAATGCATTCAATAACAATTGTCAAGAAAATACCAGACACTTAAGAGAGACATTCTCTCTCCATAGTCTCTGCAAGGCGTCAGCCGTATATTGATCTATACTATTAGGACCACCAAGAAGTTCAAATAGTAATAAATATGCAGATTGCACTGAATAACAACACGAAGAATTTACTCTCAATACCCATTTATCTTCTTGTAGTACCTTAATAGAAACTTTATCCACAAGCTCCAACAAAATATTAAAGCTTGAGATCTCATGTTGAAAGAGTCTTCTTTGGCAACTAACATTTCAAACCCACCTAGTGTCATCATGAAAACTATTCTCCAATACACAAGATTCAACATTCCTCGTCACCACAAATAATCACAAAAATGCTTCACATAATCACACCCCACCTACCCACTTATCACTCCAAAAAAGAGTGTGCAAACCTGCACCCACATTCCTATCCAACTTCTCATCTAGCCATAAATTTCTTTGATGAATAACCTCCAATAAATCACGTTACCACAAAGAACATCTATTTTGGACTGATGGACGCTGAATAGAAGAAGCTAATTTATCATATGTAGCTTCCAACACCCACACCTACAATGAACTAGAATAATTAACATCTCACCACAACCATTTACCAAGAAGCGTCCAGTTAAACCACTGCACATTTCTAATATCCAAGCCACCATTCTTTCGCGTCTACAAACCGTTTCCCATTTTACGTAGAGGATTTTAGATCTATCCTTAACACCTTTCCATAAAAAATTTCGCTGGATAGTGACAATCTCCTTTATCACCGACTTCAGCGCCTTAGAAAAGAATAACGAGTGCAATGACATAGAATTAAGAACGACATTAATCAAAGTCACCCTACCTCCAATCAATAAATACCTATGCTTCCATGACGCCAACCTTTTCTTAGGAGCCTTGAACACACCCTTCCATGCACTAGGCTTCCTCAGGTTAACATCTAACTGTAACTCGAAATACTTTAATAGGAAATTACCAAGATTACAATGTAGAAACTCCGCAGCCAAGTTTTCAAAGTCATCACTAGTGTTAATTCCCAATACATAACTTTTATGAAAGTTAATTTTCATACTTGACATTAACTCAAAGCTACGCAATACTGCTTTTAAAGTCCACAAGTTTTAAACCGAAGCCTCTCCCAGAATTAATGTATCATCCGTAAACTGTAGCAAAGTAATATCCGATCCCCTTATCCCAATCTTCACACCAGAGAACAACCCACAACCCACTGCCTTCCGCATAAGAATTTCTAACCCTTTCTCTACCACAAGAAAAAGAAAAAGGGCAAGAGGATCCCCCTGTTTTAGGTTCCGCCCAATATGAATCTCCAATGTAGGACAATCATTAATTAAAGCTGATAAGCTACCTCCACACACACAAGTTTCCTTCCAATTGACCTATTTTTCTAAAAATCCAAAGCTACGTAATATAAACAAAAGATATCCCTACTCCACTGAATCATAAGTCTTCTAATAATCAAGTTTTAACACAAAACACCTCTTGTTATGCCTCTGCACATAATCAACTGCCTCATTAGCCACAAGTACACTATCTAACATATTTCTTCTCGGGATAAAGGCTGATTGTTGTTTTGAAATTATTGAATCCAGAACCTCTTTCAACCTATTTGCCAAAAGCTTGGAAACAGTCTTATAAAGGCAGCCTAACAATGAGATAAGTCAAAAATCAAATATCTGTTGTGGGCAAGACACTTTTGGCACAAGTGCTACAAAGTAGGATAACAAGGACCTAGGTAATTTACCATTTCTAAAAAATTCAATAAGCATACCCATCACTTTTTCCTTGATCACTTCTCAAAACCTCTTAAAAAACACAAAATTAAAACTATCAAGCCTCAAACTTTTATCCCTCTCATACTCCAAAATCATCCTCCTCACTTCCTCCTTAAAAAAACGTATATATATATATATATATATATATATATATATATATATATATATATATTATTTTGTTGCCTCTTTTTGTTAACACACAAATGAAAGAACTTTGTCTTTAAATCACCATTCTTCCCTTATCGCATCTGAGCTTTTTGGGTTATAAGACTCTCTCTATTTTTCCTAGCCTTCCAAATATCACCCACCAATATCTATTGATGCTCCTTCTCCACATCGTAAAGTTCCATCACAGAATTTTTATTATCAATCAAGCTCACCTCAGTTGTCAAATCAAAAATACCTTATCAACATTTTCAAACACCTCAATATTCCATTTTTTCAATGCAATCTTAACATTTCACAACCTCTGGCTAGCCCTTTGGGCAACCCATAGAAGGTTAATATCTCTTTTCTACACTTCCTCCACCACCTCCACAACTCCCTTATGAGTCAGCCAACAATTGTTAAATCTAAATAGCTTCAGATCCCAGTTAACCACTTTGTACTTTAGAATAATGGGACAATGATCAAACACATATCTACTCAGAACCTGAATAAAACCATCTCCCAATAATCAAATCAGGAACTAGAAATAAGGACTCTATCTAGCCTGCTGATCATAGAAGCATCCTCCCTTATCATGTAAATTTCTTATCCACAAGTGAAAGATCTACAAGTTTCATTTCCTGAATAAAAGAATTGAAGCCATCCCTTTTAGAGATACCATGGTTTGCCTGACAACCCTTCCTCTCTTTCACCTGTCTCACAACATTAAAGTCACCTAATATACACCATATAAATTTGCCAAAACCCCTTCTTGTCATGAGTAAATCATCTCATAACTTTCTCTTCTCACTTAATCTACATGATGCATAGACATTCACCACAACACATAGGTTCCTAGTAGTCAATACCTGCAAGCAAACACCAAAGAATCCAGTACCATAAAAAGAGAAAAATATTTTACCTTTGAAAGCATCCCAAAGTGAAAGCATACCCTCGCTTCTACCAACGGAGGGAAAGGCAATCCAATCAAAATCCACAGAATCCCACAGACGCACACATAACTTGCGATTACATGTCTCAAGTTTTGTTTTCTGAATTGCCAAAAACTCCAGACCTTCAGAGCAAGCAATCTCACACACTTTCTTTTGCTTCACCTTACTCTCTAGCCATCGACAATTAAATGAGCCAACCTTCATTTAGAACTAAAGTGAACCCCATGTTCTTTCCTAGTCGTTCTGTCACATACCTCCATCTCAATCAATTTCTCTCGAACATGCTCATCGTTCCTATGTACGACCATACCAACCTTCTTACCAATGTCTAATAACCTCGACGCCACAACTTATCATCACAATCTGCAGGAGCCCTCAGAAGCATTAGTCGAGATTTCATCAGCTAGTGATACCTTTCTTCTAAGTTGCGATGACATTGACGCTTCTCTACTATGATCCCTAAGGTTTTTTTGTAGGGGTCTATAAAAATTGCACTCTTATGACGACTACTTTTCACAGAGCGTGCCCTCCAAAGGGATTCGAGCACGTTGACCCTCTCTTTCACAATACAAGCTTTTGATTGAAAGGGGTTGACTTGCGTTGTCCCAATTGCCTCCTTACTCCTTGATTCTGGATTTTTCCAAATCAATGCGTCTAATCCAAACGGATCTGATAAATTTAATCCATCTTTTGCTATTGGGACTCCTCTCTTCACATTTTCAGAAGGCTTATTCACAATATCACAGATAACCACCACCGGACCTATAGTATCCATACCACCAGCCCCTAAACCCTCATCCACTAAACACCTTTTTGCTGACACTAACACTTCACCCCTAATCACAAAATCAACCAAACAACCCTTACCTCTGATATCACCTTGTAGCACACTCTCCTCTTCACTAGAATAGTTATCCAACGCTTTCAACTTCATTGAACTAACCTCAAATGAGTCATTGCCATCCTTAGAAGAGTTAGCCACGCTTTCCTTTATTGCAGCTACAACATACAGGCATGCTCTTCAAGCATGACTATAGTAAAAACGATCATTGACTTTCATTGTAATATTTTGCTTGACAAGCTCAACAATGGTAGTACCTAATTGTATCATCACATAATTCAATCGCTGCTTTTCTGTCGTGACATGGTCTATCTGGATAAAATCACCAAGCAAAGAAACCAACTTACGGAAGAATAATTCACCCTAAGCATGCAAAGGGACCCTATAACAACGTACCCAAGTCACCCTTCGTGTAGCTACTATACTTGGGTGCTACTCTTGTAGATCATAGAACCATTTTTCCCACTACAATTTGTGGAGCGATATTGTATCATTTAAATCTATTCCCGCATCAGATTCCACTAACACCATGTCATCACCCATGGTCGTGAGATTAATATCCAA